TTTCCTTCTATCTGCCTAACAATACCAAGGTTTTAATCTGATGTATTAACCGTTGATGATGTGTTCAATAGATTATATTCGTAAACATTTATTTATTTCAAATGGCAGGCGTTTTGATAGTTATCATTAGCCCTTTAGCTGACTTCGAACTTCACAGAGTGGAGAAACATCAAAGTGGGGAAAATTGAAGAGGGGGACAGAAGAGAGATTCACAGGTGTAAATTAGTCAGGCAGACACAGGGGCAGAGAAAAGGTAAGATGAGTACTGTTGGAGTGGTGGAATGCACATACAGTGGGGTGATGGTAGTTTGAAGTGCGAAGTCAATTGCCGGTTTATAGACCTTTTGTCGTATGAGTATGCGTTGCCCAGGGTGCACCACGTGGAGGAATGTCAATCGCACACCCCTACATACGCAGACATTAAATACAAATTTTATTGTCAGACGCCATACCTACGAAGATATGAGCAGATCCTGATCAAGCTTGAACCTACCAGGATTTCCATCTAGTGAGGTCTTAGTAGAATTAGGCTACCGATGGGGGTGGGGGGGAGGGGGTCGTGGTAATTGGACATTAAAGTACAATTCCATATTTAATCGATTAATTATAAATATGTAAGATAAGAGCTGATTGGTTTTCCGCCTCTAGTTATTAATAAAGTACTAAGCTTGTAAATGCTTTTTGAGTGAAACCTTGGTCATGCTCGATCATTGTTTAAAATAATGGCGATTTGAGGTCGTGATGAAGTTTAAGACTGAAAATTTGTCATGACGTTGCTAATGCCAGGGGCGATGTTAGAAGAGGAGCCGTCAAATTGAAATATTAGGTAAACACTATTTCTTGAAAATCTTATTGATTGAAGAAATGGCTGCAAATTAAATAACTGAGGCTTTATTAACATTTCTTCAATAGAGCATAAAATACTGAAGGTAAAGGAAACTATTTTTGTCTATCCCGTGGCTATATTTATCTCATGTCACTATTAACAGGCGACTATTCTGTTCTTTAAAATGGGTTAGAGTAAGAAAATTAGATGGTCATTCAAGTACGGTTTAGAGTCAATTTTTTAGTTTGAAATTATGAAACATTAATAAATATAAACTTCCGTATTGGTAGCTGTACAATACGCCAGATATTATAAAACCAATATCACGTCAGACTCACTTACTCATTTGTGTATTTATCTCACATAAGATAGGGAACCTAATAGCTATTTTGTAAAAGTGAAAAATACAATATAAAATTATCATATATTTGAGCTTTAAGGTATAAAATATATTATGGAAATAATTAAAGAATTACCGTTTTACAATGGATTGGATCAGTTGGCGCAGCGTATAAATGCATGCTTAGATGGTAATGTGATTTTGCTCGTGTGTTTTTCATTATATGTTTTTACCAGATTCTATTATTTCGGTATCATTGTTTTTTTATTGTTCTTAACGTAAATTATTTATTGATACCTATAACGTGTAGTCACGTATTGCGACACTCCTTGTACTTCGGCGCTGTTGTTCCTCTAGTCCGTCATCAGCTCCATTGGCCCTTAAGAATAGGCTTCTGGAAGTTGCTGATCGTTGGCCTGTTGATCCTTCAAAAGAAGAACGTGATATACGGTACCACTGGCAAAATCGAGTTCGTGAACTCATCGCAAATGATGCTCCAGTATCGCAAATTGAAAAGGAAATTACCTTCATTGAAGGACTGATTTCGAATCTTAATAGGGGAAAATACCCAGTTCCCGATGGTCTTGGTGGTTCACCCCCTCTCATTGCCGCATCCGGACTCGATCTTGCTTCAGTTTCAGCCATCTTAGTAAACAAGGGAGTAGCCAAGCCGAAGAAAAGTATATTTGCTCGTATTTTGCAGATGGTGACTTAGTATTGTTTTATTAACTTATTTTACATGTAATCCAAGGATTATTGTATATTCACAATAATGTTTAACAATTAAATCGGATTCCTATCCACTTATATTTTCATAAATAAATATACTCCTTTTGTTTTTTCATATATTCGGAGGAGATCATTGAACGGTAGATGCAAATTTGCTTAAATACAAATGCATTAAAATGAGGAAATGAGTCTGAGGAATCAGAAAATCCTCGGATTTTGGTTCCATTTCCAGAATTTGGTGATTTTTCGTTCCTCGCGATCTGAGGCTGCATTCAAGATTACAGGGAATCTATAGTGTTGTGTGACACCACTTGATGGCTAGTGGATATAGCACGAATTTCGGCCTTGATATTGGGGTTGTTTATGTCTCAGAAGAAGTGGCATTCTCAACAACGTGAAGCCACAATTGTTTCATTTGAGGTAGATGGATAACTTTAAAAATGCAATATCCATTAATCCTAAGGGGAGAAGAGGATTTTCAATTCTCTTTTGGTATTGAACTATTCTAACGTTTAATTGGTCTGCGTCAGCAGTGTCGACGATGCAAAATGTATAGATTGAATGGCGTTTTGTTGCCGATTCTTTTGAAATGTCAAATATTAGTCAGTGCACTAAAAGTAATGGCACGTTACGTTGCATACACTATTGTGATAACATGTTGATTCTAGATAGTAATAACATGAATGGGTTTCCTTTTGTCAGCCAATGCAGGCGCTATGTATTCCACATGGGCAGTCCCAGCTATTATTGTCGAACAATTTCCAACTGGTAATTCCCATTGTTTCTGCATATGCCTATTCAGAGATACCTTTGGAATTGAATTCACCTAAGTTGCACTGAGGCCATGATTTAGATACCTAACCATCCAGGTTAGCAGTAGAAGTGCCGCTTAAAAATGAACAAGTTTGGAATATTTATGCTTATATTTGTTAAGTGGTCAACTTAACTTAATAAAGTTAACTTCAATTAACTTAGACCCACTGAATAGCACTCTGTATGTTGTAAACACTCGAATATCCCAATAAAACCGTGTAGCGGATTGCTACTTTAGTAAAGCCTGACAGACTCAGAAATCTCTATGGCAGATCCTCCTACATCTAGCTAGACTCCCAGAACCAGCTAAGCTATAGCCCAGCTATAAAAGGAAACAGACGTGTAGCAAGGAGCACGTTTATTCAGTCAGTATATTGTGGATCACGTGTACACGCAGGGAGCTACTCATGATCAGCATGGGGGATTAGGTTAAATAGAGGTTAATGATTGGTCACTGTTTGTGCGGTCGCTACACAGAGTTGTGCGCCGCACTTCCCAATCCCGGCGAGCGGACAGAGCGATAACGTGTCCCGCAACTATTTTGAAGATTCCAAAACTACTCAATCCCAGTAAGATTCCTTATTTACTAAAAGGAGCAAGCGACTTCCGGTTCAACAAATGCACATCTTGTCCGCAACACAGACGAGTGTTTTAACTCACCTTGAACGCCGAGGAACAGGAAGCCCTCAGCCACCTTTATTAGTTAGGCTCAATCATAGCGTCTGACACAACTTCCCCCAATTGCGACACACACGACCTCAGAGACTACGGAGACTAGAATTCTAAGCACTGATAATTAGCGTGCTTAAAAAAACCTTGAACTGTTTTATATCCAACAAACTAATAAGACGAGAGAGAAAAATACCATCAGCGTAATAAAACGACCAGGCATTATTAATTTAATAAAATTTCCACAACAAACGATGATTTAGACATAAATATATATATATACACACCAAGATTTGACTGAAGCGCTCACGCAAAAATTAAGATGGCAGAGGAGGAGGTGGAGGAGCAAAAATTGAAGTTCAGAGGGGAGCTAATATTATATATATATGCTAAGGTGCATAAAATAGCAAATGTGAGTGTGTGTGTGTGCGCGCGCATATATGGAGCTAATCGGAGGGGCTGTCCATAAAGGCCTCTTGAATCTCTTTGACCATCTTGATACGGTTCAGCATGATTTGCAATTGAGCTGCTGGCACGGCGTTCTCAGAGTACCATGTGGAAGTTGAACTTTCGGAATGTTGGTGGGGTGCAAGGTAAAAGGGTCCACTTCCGGAAGTCAGGGCTTGTGGACTGGTGAAAGAGAGAGAGTTGATTTGGTGAAAACAAACAACAACAAATGACAAATAAACCTCACTCAACGAGTAAGGTCGGTTATTATAAAGAAATGAAAAAAAGCCATGAACACACACTGAAAGTGCCTATTATAATAATTACTTCAATATTTTGGACTAGTCTTGCTAATTTTGTCAACACAGTTTCATGGAGAAACTATTATTTTTAAGACTTCATAAATGTTGCGAAGTAAGAAAAATCGCTAATCGATCAAATCAACTCGCGTGGACTTTTAATTAGACAGAAAACTTTACCTCAGAACAAGACACCTAGAGCCGTATCAATATTACCCAGCGGGGGCGGGGGGGTGGGTGAGCGATAGACTTACCTCCACGTTTACTCATCATACGGCAAAAAATTCCATTAACTGGGAGTTGACTTCTCACTTCAAACTACCACGACCCCACTGCATGTCATATTCGACTACTTCCACACTACTCACCTTACCCTTTTTTCTACCTTTGTCTTTGAAACACTCTTCTGTTCCATCCCCCCTCTCGACTTTTTTTCACTTTGATGTTTCTCCTTCCTTCTGTGAAGCCTGAAGCCAACTAAAGGGCAGATGAGAGCTACCAAAATGCCTGCCATTTGATATAAATAAATAAATACACAAAAGCATGCATTATCAACATTGCATGTAAAGTTAACGTAAAACTAATTCACATCGGACATAAGAATAAAAAGCGTACACTAACTCGAACCAAACTGATAATCTCGCGCCAGAAGGAAATTCAGAAAAGGAAAGGACAGAAACGGAGTAGTAATTCACTGCAAAGCAAGGAAAATGTTGAGAAAAAAAACGGAAAATACACCCACAACAAAAATGCTACTCCATCTTCATTCACAAAATTGCATGGATGTAGTACAGAAGACACTAATACCACCTATTGCTCCACACACTTGGATCTAAACAATAAGAGTGTCCATAATACTAAATTCCAAATTCTACACCCTTCCAAATATCTCAAAGCTAATAACAAAAAATAATCTAAATCAGTTTTATTTTTTTTAAACAAAATCTATATGCCTCTGTAGTATCTCCAAGACCTCAACTCTAAACTTCGAGATATTCTAGAGGCATGGAGAAATTCGAATATTTGAGGGCTGTATCAATCGGAGCGTTCAACTCAGAACGTCGACTTTCTTTTCCCTCAAAACAAGATAAGAAACCCCCAAACTTCAATTAAACCTATTCTGTGGCACAATTCGCATATAATATCATATACCATTTTCTGTTCACTGAGCTTCTCTTTGTTCTACGCACGAAAAAGTGGATGGAAAGTGCAAAGATTGGAAACATTTCTGTTATCACAAAATAATTCCCCAGTCCTGCTACGATCTACATTTTCTCCATCATTGGTGACAAAACTTGCAAAGATAATAGATTGTGCAGATTTCTAAATCACTCACTGGCAGCTCTTTGGCTAAGCCATTTCTTTCAAAATACAAGACCATTAAAAGTCCAATGATCTCACCCCATCATTGCCTCCCAAAATAAAAAGATATCTAAGCTAGTCCTGATCAATGAATGCTCATCGATAAGCACACTGAACCTTTGACTTCGCAAACGAATAGGCTACACTCATTAAAGTTGCGTGGATTTATACGGATTCAAAGCCATAACCGGAAGTAATCAAGCAGATTGCCATATCACCCCCCCCCCCCCCCCCCCAACAGTTGAAAACTTACCATTTCTTTAAATAGGTCAGGAAAAGTTGCACAGGACAACGAGAAGAGGGTTCAGCAGAGGCAAACATACGATAGGACTCCGATCCACCACCTGCAACAAAGAGAACACACTCCGATTCAGCATTCTCGCGTTTGACTTTGAAATTGGAGAAACAGAGTTGAGCATGTTGATCGCCAGTGCGTAGCCACATATGCTTCGTGATGAAGTAGAGAACAGTGAAGCCAAGGACCTGAAATATAAACAAAATTAGGTACATACTTTAGGGGACTAAGATACATAAAAATCATGCGAGCGCACCTCATACTTCTAATGTCTTTTAGCCTTTGGAAGATAATATAATTAATAGCTGCGTAAAAGTTAAACATGAAACTATAAAATAGGAATTTTTACCTCCACTCAATCTGAAAAATCACATAATTTGAACCCGAACAAATTTGTAAAACGTGGGGTGCGCGATAGACTTACCTCCACGTAGTGCACGATGGGCAACGTTACTCATAAGGTAAAAGTCTATTAACCGGCAGTTGATTTCTGACTTCAAACTACAATGGCCCGACTGTATATCACATTCTACCACTTCAATACTACTCATCCTACCTTTTCCCTGCCTTTGTGTTTCTCTGCCTTTTACATATGTGAATCACTCTTCTGTTCCCCACCACTCGACTTTCTGGTACTTTCATGTTCCTTCCCCTCTGTGAAGCCTGAAGTCAACTAAAGGGCTAATGATAACCATCAAGACGCCTGCCATTTGATATAAATATAAATAAATTGAGATATGATGCTTTGACAGAAACTCCAAAGTGTATTTATAGAGGCTTCTCATTGTTCTTTAATAAACTTTGCTTTACCCCAAGATGGCGTTAATATTTTTTGCTAGAATTGTTATTTTTTTGAAGTTCTTCAAACATCACTCCTATCCCAGATTATTACTATTACGCATTACAGGTCACAAAATCTGATGATAAGCTTGAATTTATACCTCATCATTCTGAATCAACTCAAATTTGTGGAATTTTCCATAAAATTAAGTCATTTATCTCACAGAAAAAAAGAAATTACGCTAAATGGAAAACTTTTCCCTTGCTAATTAACCGCGTTTGTTGCAAAATTTTGTGCTATCGAAAGTTCACTGGAGGTTTAATTTCTAATAATTAAATCAGTCTTTAAAGGTCCCGACTTTTAATGTGGTCTTTGTCTGAACGTTTTTGTCTTATTCCTTCGCGCTTATCATTCCAATTATTTATTATAATTTTAAATGTTGCATGAGAAAAAATTACTTCAGGTAGCAGAATCGAATATGGGAAGCATTTTTGGAATTAAATTAAAAGCAAATGGATGCTTAGTAATCCAATAAAGACAAACTGCAATTCAACCATCTCAATAGGCACAGTGCTGAATGATAATGAGAAATTGCCAAAGTTTGCATGGTCATACTAATTTGAACCAACAAGGCAAATGTCTGGGGAGTGGGTGTACAATTATTAATATTTATTTATATCAAATGGCAGGCGTTTTGACGGTTATCATTAGCCCTTTAGTTGACTTCAGGCTTCGCAGAGAGGAGGAGGAACATCAAAGTGAAAAAAGTCGAGAGTGGGGGAGGAACAGAAGAGTATTTCAAAGATGTAGAAGAGACAGGCACAAAGGTAGAGAAAAAGGTAAAATGAATACTGTGAAAGTGGCCAAATATGACATACAGTGGGGTCATGGTAGTTTGGAGTCAGAAGTCAACTGCCAGTTAATAGACATTTTTGCCGTATGAGTATTCGTTGCCCAGGGTGCACCACGAGGAGGTAAGTCTATCGCACACCCCCAATTATTAATATAAATCATTGTTTTAAAAACAAGTCTCTCATTAACGTTTTCCCGCAAATATGGGGTGGAGGCAGATCAACTCTGAACGAGCGTCAATTTTTTGCTGTCCTGATTAGTGTCCCCAATTTCCTCGTTATGTGTCTTTGTCCTGAGATCTTGTTGACTGGATCATGAAATGAGTGATTACTTTGTCCATTTAACCCAATCCTCTCTGACCATTTCAGTTTATCATAAAATTATTTATTTTTTAAAAAATATTTATTTACATCAAATTGCAGGCGTCTTGATGGTTTTCATTAGCCCTTTAGTTGACTTCAGACTTCACAGAGATGAAGGAAGATCAAATTGAAAAAAAGACGAGAGGGGGGGGGGGAACAGAAGAGTGTTTCAAAGATGTAAGAGACAAACACAAAGGTAGAAAAAAGGTGAGGTGAGTACTGTGTAAATAGTCGAATATGGCATAGAGTGAGGTGATGGTAGTTTGAAGTGAGAAGTCAACTGCCGATTTATAGACTTTTTTGCCGTATGAATATACGTTGCCGAGGGTGTACCACGTGGAGGTAAGTCTATCGCACACCCCTTTTTTAAAAATATATATACGGTACATTTGTGGAAGCTTCGATGCTTTCACATATGGCACATTTCCTTTAGAAATTACCTGGTGAATATCCTTGATACATTTTGAACAGCTTTCTTTTAATTAATCAAATTAATCAATTTATTCACGCCTCTCATATCAAACATTCATTCCGAGTAATTAAAATTAAAAGGACTTTTGGCATGAGGAACTTTAATTAATAAATTATTGAAGGTTCTTGTAAATAATTTCCAAATGTCAGTTTATTTCCTATTTTTGTTTTTTGTTTTAAAAAACTGACGGGTTGTCAACAGAATTTATCACATTAGTTAAAGATGCAAATAATTCATGCAAGCGTCCAATCTCCGTTCTGTGGCTTGACACTTCACATTGGACCACCACCACCACCCTAATCTTTTCCGGCTAACAACTAAAATTTGTTGACTAAGAAAGACGATGTTAATGAAAATCCTCACTTCCTCCAATACCTAGTTACAATTCCTATTTTTGATGCGATGAAGTCTCCAAAATTTACCTTATTCTGACTAGACGTGTTCAAGTATAGACGTTCTGTTTATTCAAGGACAAGAAGACACTTAACATTCCAAGACCTGGGTCCATTATTTCGATGTTTGCAATGTGTGTATTATGTTCCTAAATAGGGGTGTGCGATAGACTTACCTCCTCGTGGTGCAACCTGGGCAACGTATACTCATACGGCCAAAAAGTCTATTAACTGGCAGTTGACCTCTGACTTCAAACTACAATGGCCCGACTGTATATCACATTCTACCACTTCAATACTACTCATCCTACCTTTTCCCTGCCTTTGTGTTTCTCTGCCTTTTACATATGTGAATCACTCTTCTGTTCCCCACCACTCGACTTTCTGGTACTTTCATGTTCCTTCCCCTCTGTGAAGCCTGAAGTCAACTAAAGGGCTAATGATAACTATCAAAACGCCTGCCATTTAATAATAAATTAATTTGTAAAACTTGATAATTCTTGGTGAACCAATACCGATGTAAAGAGCCCCAAAAGTGATTTCAAAGCAAAACCAATTCCACAAGCAATGCAAATACGCAAAGGACACAAATTGAAGAAAGAAAACACCCAACATCCAAAAACACCATACCTAAATACCTAAGTAGTAATTGGAAGGTAGGAAGAAGCCTTAATTTAAGCCAACTGGAGAGACGAACCCCTCCAATCAATTATTAAACTTCGGTCAATCTCATGATTCCAATTTACTTGAATAGTAGACGACTGGTTTTGGATTAGTGACGACAAACACAGCAGCTAACAACAATAACGACCATCTTTAGCAGCCTTTAAAGCTCTAATTCCTAGTGACCAGAATCCATTCAATTATCTCACGTTGTGACAGTCTTAGAATAAAAGAAGGTAAAACAAGCTAACAAAAACACCCAAAGTTAAACATCTTTGCATCGAAAGATATTAATCTCTATCCATACTTGCCAAATGGAAGTTTCAGGAAATGAAATAGAAACGGAAAGTCTTGCACAAGGGGGCCAGAAAGCATGAACTTAGATATGATGGCTAGCTTCCACTTGAACTGAGACCAAACCCATTACAAATGGTGTAGCAGATGAGAAAAAAAAGGAAACGACATACATGGGGATTGTGATCACCTAGTTGCTTGGCTTCCCACATGTGCTCCTCCTCAATACGACAGATGAGCATTCCTTCGGGACTAATTCTCGGACGAAAATCGGACAATATAGTGTCTAACGCCAACGTAAAGGCGTCAAACTTATCCCCAAAGATATTCACTATGCGTCCATGCTCATTCAAAAATTCTTGTATACCTAAAAGAAAGGAAAATGGCAAGTTAGCGGTTCCTCATACGACCTGCAAGAGATAAAACCAAAGACATCTTTTAAACAGAATTTCTTTTAAAACAAGGGAAAAGTATAGTCTAAAGGAGTTCAGATAGAATTTTTACAACGGGAACTAGCTGAGTGGTAAAAAATACGCTTTGCAAAAGATATCTAATTAGCTCGAAGAAACCATTAACTAACAGTGTAAAGGAAAGGGAGAAGTAAGTAAAATGCCAAGATCGTCAAGGAAATAACGTATAAACATAAATTTTCGCCTTGACAACAAAATGGGAGTCAAGGCAAAAAAAGCCTTGTCTCTAAATTAAGGATTAAAATTGCTACTATTTTACTTAAGAGGTACATTATATTGAACCATGGGGTGCGCGATAGACTTACCTCCACGTGGTGCACCCTGGATAACATATCTTCCTACGGCAAAAAAAGTCCACCACCCGGCTGAGTTTAAACTACGTACCGGATACGATTGACTGGCAAAACACCTTCACAGATTGGGAGTATACACTCAACCTGGCGAAGCACCTTCACAGATTAGGAGTATACAATCAAAACACCTTCACAGATTGAGAGTATACACTCAACCCACATATACTCTATGTAACCTACAGGAGGAAATGGAGAAGTCCCACCTGTCTATGTGACCTACAGGAGGAAACGGAGAAGACCCACCATATGTAACCTACATGAGGAAATGGAGAAGACCCATCTGATCTGTAACCTACAGGAGGAAATGGAGAAGACCCACCTGATGTGAAACCTACAGGAGGAAATGGAGAAGACCCATCTGATTCGCATACAGGAGGAAATGGAGAAGACCCACCTGATTCGGTGTTCAAAGGAGGAAATGGAGAAGACCCACCTGATTCGGTGTCTAGCGGAGGAAATGGTGATGACCCACCTGATTCGGTGTCCAGCTCTAAAGACAACGCAGACCCACCTGATTCGGTGTCCAGCTCTAAAGACAAGGACATGGAGTCTGATTGTGAAACCTACAGGAGGAAATGGAGAAGACCCATCTGATTCTCTACAGGAGAAAATGGAGAAGACCCACCTGATTCGGTGTTCAAAGGAGGAAATGGAGAAGACCCACCTGATTCGGTGTCTAGCGATCAACCCACATGCCCTCTATGTAACCTACAGGAGGAAATCTGGCGAAGCACCTTCACAGATTAGGAGTATACAATCAAAACACCTTCACAGATTGAGAGTATACACTCAACCCACATACTCTATGTAACCTACAGGAGGAAATGGAGAAGTCCCACCTGTCTATGTGACCTACAGGAGGAAACGGAGAAGACCCACCATATGTAACCTACATGAGGAAATGGAGAAGACCCATCTGATCTGTAACCTACAGGAGGAAATGGAGAAGACCCACCTGATGTGAAACCTACAGGAGGAAATGGAGAAGACCCATCTGATTCTTAACCTACAGGAGGAAATAGAGAAGACCCACCTGATTCGGATCCAGCCCTAAAGACAAGTACGGAAAGCCAAAGATACTGGTATACAGGAGGAAATGGAGAAGACCCACCTGATTCGGTGTTCAAAGGAGGAAATGGAGAAGACCCACCTGATTCGGTGTCTAGCGGAGGAAATGGTGATGACCCACCTGATTCGGTGTCCAGCTCTAAAGACAACGCAGACCCACCTGATTCGGTGTCCAGCTCTAAAGACAAGGACCCACCTGATTCGGTGTCCAGCCCTAAAGGCAACGACGGAAAGCCAGATACTGGGAAACAAGAAGACAGCTAATGAACTACTATATATATACCCCCCACCTATGGGGAAAGCTGAAGACAAAGCTTAAAGACTAATGATAAATATCATAAGGCCTGTCACTTGAAAAAAATGAACGCCCTAATCAGGAGTCATCAGACACTCCTTATAAATGAGAATTTGACATTCTTATAGACTAAAACTTACCCAAACAAAGATAGAAGATGGAATCAGCCACATAGGTTTCGTTATTTGGTTTCCTAACCTCACGAACAAATCTCGAGAGGGCAACATTGAGTTCCTCATCGGGAATCTCAACCACATCGACAAGAGCCTTTGGTTGACCATTCTGGGTGATCCAGTGGCGCCAAGCATTGATACCATAAGAGAATTTCAAATGGTAAGTGGCATCGCTAATTGCCGTACGACGTGTCGCCGGCGTTAGGGGTGATGACGATGATTGAGAAATGGCTTCGGGGCCCCGACGTGGACGTTTACTAGGATGTACTTGTTCAGAGGTGGATGATGGGCTGGACATCTCCTTCGTGGATCGCTTTTGAGGCTTTGCGGAAATAGTCGTTGTTTCACTATCACAATGACCCTGAGAAGAAATAAGAGTCAATACAGTACTCAACCAACTTTACAGTGCTGTGGAGATCTAGAAAGAGTTTTCAGACTTCTCGGATTTCATAGTAACCGTCGTTTTAAAACAGGTGAAATAGCTAATTGCAATAAAACAGTATAGACTAATAAAAAAATAATGAAAAAACGGACTTACTGCAACAATTTGCTTCGAGACAGTTTCCAGTTCATTGGCCTTCTTTTCAATTTGCTCTTCATGTTTAACTTGTGACGCTTTATCATCCGTCTCTTTATCGGTAGGCAACAAGAGCGGCAGTGGAATAGGACAAGGCAATGGGAAGGGCAGGAGAAAGGGAAGAGGTTGAGCGTAGGTGCAAACAGGCACAGGAACATAGATCGGGACTGGTATTGGAATGGGCACATATTTGATGACAGTTTTAACTTCTTCAACAGGAGTAGGCTTTTTGACCTCTTGCTCAGTTTGAGTGCCAAGATGATTAATTAATAGGGCCTCTGTATTAGCACCAATTTCAATGCATTTAGACGGAGCGAGCTTCTTTTTCTTCTGCTCTATCTCGGCATCAGACAAGCCTTCTTCGTCTTCAACGTCTCCGATTAAATCTGCGTCATCTTCCATACCATCCTTTTTAATAACTGGAACTGAAGAGAGGGGAAGTGGTTGTTCCTCAACAACCATCATTCCATCCTCTTCGACATCCTCGTCGTGTTTTGAAGCAAGGGCTTCCTCGTCAGCAGAGAATTGGCACTCCACATCATGAGAATTTATTCCCGCCTGAGTCTTTCTAGACACCGAGAGAGGACGGCAAAGAACGGCCTTATTTTTCATAGCAACAGGTGCTGCTGGTTGGAGAATTACCTGTTGCTCAATGCCCAATTGCCGCACCATATCAATTGGCACCACTGGGAACTGACCCTAGAGATAAAAAGTGAAGAAACTGTCAATCAATGGAAAAGTGGACTAGTACTTATCCGAATATCAAGTAGACAAGGAAACAATACAGAAAGTGTAAGCTAAATTTTAAAGCATAGATAGCCATAGGCGTTCAATGAAAGTGATGGGAAAATCATTCAATTCAAACTCGGAGGCAATTGAAAATTCAAAATGTCAGACTAAGTCCCTTTATAAAATATTGTAACACTTAACTCGGATCAAGAAAAAAGCAACTGAAGCCAGTTTGGTGAAAAAATTGTACTTAGCCACCCCGATGTTAGTTAGAACCAACCAGTGCGGCTTGATATCTTCCATCCTGGTAAATGACAACCATAAAAAATTTAAAAGCTAATAAATTGATTCGTAAATAGAATGTTTAGATAAAAATTACAAACATAATCCATTCATCAAAATGACATAAAAAAGATCCAAGTGGGTTTAGCTGTTTAAACCTGCACGGATTATCATAATTTAATCAGTCTACTGAAAATGTCAAAAAAATGAATTCAATACGGAGCACGACAACGAATTTCAACAATACCCTCAAGAATAACACTAACACAACTAAACAAATATACACAAGGCACAAAAGATAAACAACCGCTTCATAAATCTCATATATGAAATATTATAATACAAAAAACAGAACTAACTCTTAAAGGGCGACGACCACGAGGTCTCCCGCGGTTGCTAGCATTACCAACTGTGGCAAATCGATAACCACCATCGCGATCCATGGCACTACCAGCGTTAGTAACCATAGCAGAACCAGAAGAGGAGAAAATGTTTCCCTGGGAAGTGATAATTCCTCCACCTTGGCCAGTAGTGAGCGGGATCCCCGATGATGGTGTGTAACGAGTGCCGAGAGAAAGTAACCCAGAAGCTGTTGGAGCAATAACTGCAGACTGGGGAATGACCTGAGCACTCTGAATCATTTGCAAGCTCTGCGCTGGCATTAGAGGTTTCCTAGAAACGAGTAGAGGCTTGTAAATAATTAGAGGAAAAATACCTTGCCGGAGTCCTGCCACCTCTTTGCCCACTTTGAGAAACTCTTGGGTCAAGAACTGACTGCAATTAAAAGGGAAAAAACATAAGAGCCGGAAAATTAAAAAGCGAATTACGAGGTAAGTATAAAGAATAGAAAGAAATCAAAAACTGCTTTAATGAGTGCTGTTCATAGGTTTACGTTCAGGAGACAAAATATAAATTCGATACACTCCACAAAAATTCAATACAAAATATAGAACACAAAAAGATAGGGAAAAATGAATTACAGTGATAAAAATGGGCAAAAGACGCTAAGAGAAAGTCAGTCACCTGCACTTGTCCACTAGCAATTAATCCACTTGGATCCTGAACTACAATGGCTCCGTTTGCATCAATTGGAACCTCCACGAGTTGACAACTTTCAGGATCGATTGCTGCCATATTTTGACTAAAATTTCTTTAATAAGTAAATGTTCAAACAAACCCAAATACCGACATCCCGATGAACTACTATGAAATGTAATATGTCGCGGTCGTAAACTGAAGTATTTAAAACAAATTTGTGCAATTTCGAAGGTTCGAAATAATGTCAACTGTAATACAACTTAGACAAAATTTAAAACACAGATAAAATTCAACAATCAAAATTTATCGTTAACCTGCAGTAATACATTTTTTGCTCGAGGAAATTTACAAATAACTTACTTTTGTTTTAACGCATCAAGTATATTCAGTTTCGATATTGAGATTATTAGACAGTTAAAACGATTTAATACATATGCACTAATCTAGCTTAAATGTAAGTTTTACATTTGATTTAATAATTTTAATTTTTATGCATTATATTTTCGAATGCATTCTAATTATTTAAATTATAGGTTTACATTTTTAGGCGTTTTGATTTTATAAATTAATTCCGCCTTGACAATAGTCGTTACTATATTATTTGTCTTCAATGATTTCTTCTTTTATTATTTTATATTCTTATTTTAAAGGTTTTGTGGCTTACTCGTTTTTTTTCAAAAATTCAAATGAAGATATTGCTGCTTTGATATAACCACTTATTTCACTATTTCTTTTTTCCATTTCCATATTTTAGTTAAATTGCAATACAGTGCTGAAATTTTTATCAATTTTATTTTACTCTTTTATAACAATCATTCAGGTTAACAATCATTTTCTCTGATGTATACAAACCGTAAATGTCAATCAATTCATTGTGATTTTATTGATAATAAAACCTCGATTATTGTCGTGTGTATGCGCAGTTAGATATATTAAATTGCGTCATTCATTACATGAGCTATCTACCTCGAGATATGGCTAACCTCTATCGAATAAAATCTTTTTGTAAAGTCAACTAATTTAGATACATAGTTGAAAGAGGTTATGTCTCAGTCCACATATCATTATTACGTTAATCATATAATTACCTATGTTAAATTGAACTTCTTGAACTTTGATTAATGAGGTTTAGCTATTTCAACGTTGGTTAGTTTGAAAATCATTTCATATTAGTTTGATAAGTTTAGTCGAACAATATTGTACTTAATATATATTAATTCTTCATAAGGGCAGCAAATTTGTTTCCAAATATTAATCGTGCCGTTTCACTACTTGGGGATACGAATGTATAGATGTGTAACTTGTCACTTTTGCTAATATTATTTTCAGAGAGTGGGGTGTGCGATAGACTTACCTCCACATGGTGCACCCTGGATCGGTGCACCCTGGGCAACGTATACTCATACGGCAAAAAGTCCGTAAACCGGCAGTTGACTTCTGACTTCAAACTACCATCACTTTAACTGGCAGTTGACTTCTGACTTCAAACCACCATGACCTCACTAAACTGGCAGTTGACTTCTGACTTCAAATTGCCATCACCCCAAAACCGGCAGTTGACTTCTGACTTCAAACTACCATGACCAGATCTATTAACTGGCAGTTGACTTCTCTATGTCATATTCGAAGTCTATAAACCGGCAGTTGACTTCAAACTATCGGCAAAAAAATTCTATTAACCGGCAGTTGACTTCTGACTTCAACGCAAAAAGGTCTATTAACTGGCAGTTGACTTCTCACTTCACAAAAAAGTCTATTAACCGGCAGTTGACTTCTGACTACTCAAACGGCAAAAAAGTCTATAAACCGGCAGTTGACTTCTGACTGAAAAGGTCTATTAACTGGCAGTTGACTTCTGACTTCAAATAAAAGTCTATCAATCGGCAGTTGACTTCTCACTTCAAACTAAAGTCTATTACCTGGCAGTTGACTTCAAACTACCATGAGTAAGTCTATTAACTGGCAGTTGACTTCTGAGTTCAAACTATCATGACCCCAAGTCTATTAATCGGCAGTTGACTTCTGACTTCAATTACCATGATCTATTAACTGGCAGTTGACTTCTCTATGTCATATTCGAAGTCTATAAACCGGCAGTTGACTTCAAACTATCGGCAAAAAAATTCTATTAACCGGCAGTTGACTTCTGACTTCAACGGCAAAGTCTATTAACTGGTAGTTGACTTCTCCGCATACGGCAAAAAAGTCTATTAACCGGTAGCTGACTTCTGACTTCTAACTACAATGGCCCAACTGTATGTCATCTTCCACCATTTCAGCAGATCTCACCTTACCTTTTACTCAACATTTGTGCCTGTCTTTTTTACATCTGTAAATCATTACTCTGTTATCCCCCTCTCGGCTTTTTATCACTTTGATGTTCCCCCTCCTCTTCTCTGTGAAGCCTGAAGTCTGCTAAATGGCTTATGATAACTATCAAAATGCCTGCCATTTGAAATAAATAAATAAATTTGCAGAGTGCTGACAGGCATAGATATCCCAATGAAAACAATATTTATGGGGTGACCCAGTTATGGGTCTTTGAATATTGTGGATACATCGGCAACCTTCCTAGACGCTTGAGTATCGTATCCATAGCACAAGTAAATTGTCTCTTTCGATCTACGAAGTTCCGAGGCATATTGTCAAAAAATCGCTTATAACTTTTTAGCGATTTTTAAAATTGATTTTTCGTTAACCCAAGTAACCAACTACGCGTAGGCTACTAAATAATACCAAAACATAGAAAAAAATCGTATTTTGTGAAGTTTATTGTGTACAAACTACCAAGTTAGATGAGAATTTAATTTTGGATATAAGGCAAGGTTGGGAGGGAAGTTCAATCGAGCGTGAATGAGTTTGATATCACAGCATAGGTTCCGAAGCTGAATATATATATATATATATATATATATATATATATAT